AAATTAATAAATGCAGCGAAGCCAGCAATGTTAATTTGCCACTGACAGATATATGTGTGTGTGTGTTTCTCGATGTAACTGTATGAAGACTGTCAGATGTGCTCCATGCAATGAAACTTCTTTTGTTTTGTCTTTGTCAGTTGCATTTTTTGTTTTTAAGTGTTTACGATCGGCATACTTGGCGCGAAGAACGATGGAAGAAGCTAGGCGGCCCATGTGTTGCGGCAGTCTGGACACCACAAAGTGATGTACTGCTTTTTGCAACGCTTGGTGAATCCATTATATATGCCATTCATTTCACAAAGAAGCTGCAGAACTTCTGCGATGATCAGTATGTGGTTTTCACTTTTTTTTTGTCTTTCGTATACTTGTTTTCTGAAATCTTACCATTCTGCTATTACCCTGTGGACTACTAGAAGTGTTTTATTTTAACCTGGAAGAGATTGGTTTTTGGAAGAATTCGGTCTGAAACCAGCAAGGTCTAACGATAATCTGTATAACATGATTAAATTTTTTTTTGTTTATTTCACTGTGAATAGCTTGAACAGCAGCTGTTCCGCCATTGTGTTTTCCCTCAACGTCAACTTTTGTTGTCGTAAACGCAATAATTCAGCGAAACTGTTTTCATTTGTAAATGCGCAAATACAAATTCTCTGTTACTATTCGTCTGGTTTTGATTCTAAAGATGATTGCGATTTTGCAGGCGTTCATTTAGTTCTGGGAGTGCAGTGCCAGTATACGATCTAGCAGAAGTGAAATCGGAAGAAGGCGATAACCGCGGATTTGCTGGATCAGTCCGTGATTTGCAAATTTCACCAGATGGCCAACGTGTCGCCTTGACTTTTGACGGTTAGCCGATTTTAATAAGCAATTTCTAAAATTACGTCAAACAATGGCCTTTTTTAAACGAGTTCTGAACTAGACGTAGCTCTTAACCTTACTTTTGCCTTCATCTGAGAGAATTGTTTCATCCAAGCGGAAGGAAGAAATGTGAGACACAATCGTAAATTGTAAAAGAAGCGGGAGGAGCAAAAAAAAAGGTAGTAAGTGACACAAAATCTAGCCAATTATGTTAAAATAGGCCCAATAAGGCCAAAAATGTCATACGTGAACAATTGGAGCTGTTCTGAGTGAAGAATTGCGGTTTTGAGGACGTAACTTCAAAACTTGTGCTGCCTTGCTTATTGGGAGTTGAATGCACTGTGGGTCTCAGATCACTTGGAAAGTCGGAGGTTTCAAAAAACTGCGAAAATGCATCCATTCAAGTATGTTTGTCTGTTTCTGAATTGTTTATATTTTGCAGCGAATCCGGCAGTTATCTGGCTCTTCATGATCATCACTGTGCCGACATTCTTTTTCACGCCCACCAGCTTGATAAACGGCGCAGCGACGTTCGGCGCGGCCACCATCGTTTCTTTCTTTCAAAAATTCAAATATGGCTCCTTGCTAACTGTTGTGAGTATCAAAAGTTGTGTTTATTTTGTGTGGCAACAAGTCTTGAGCTGAACCACTTGTAGATGGTGTTCGCTCTTTTTTTGCGCGAAATTGATGTGTCAAAATGCTCGCTTTTGGCGACCCTGGCAGGACTCGAACCTGCAGTCTTCGCTTTAGGAGAGCGACGCCTTATCCATTAGGCCACAGGGCCAGTTGGCGATCGTTTACACCAAATCAATCAACAATCGAAATTTCATCGATGTATTGCGGTAAAACGTGATGTTGGCTTGTTCATGCTGGCCATGCCTGATAACTTGGCCGAGGACGATATAAAATTGTTGGATCATCACTGGGCAAAGGTTTACTGTTGCAGTAGAGATGGATGCTCTGAGAGGGAGAGAGGGCAAAGGGAACACCCTTTCGCTGTGGCTTCTTGTAATTAGCCTATCCCTATTTGGCCGACTGATCACGTGGGCTCAATTTGCCGGCAATCAAGCTCTTGTCGGGTCTGTCCTGAAAAGTGTTCTGTAATTCGTAATAAATGGCGAAATACATACAAAGCTGAAGAGTAATGTGAAAGAAGCGCGAGTGAATGAAATGTTTGAAGACGGCTTGGTGCTGTAATGGAGTGTCTGTACTGTTAAAGTTATTAGAAAACTTGGGATAGACGAAACAGATTCGTTCTAGTACACTGGCATCAATTGTTCTGGAGGGGTTCTTTTCTCGTCACTGCAGCGCTATAGTTGTTGTTCGCCTTTTTTGAAAGTAACCAATTATTTTTCTAGATTTGGGCCAACGGCAAGTTACAATACATCCCGTTACTGTATGGGCCTCATGCGATTGAGGGTGTTCACTTGAATATGGCCAAAAAAGAGAAATCGGTAGATGAAGGTCGTAGCGGCGACGCGCTCCTCATAGAACCAGTGCCAGCACCCGAAGAGGTCAATTCGAGCTTTCGAGGGAACAATATAAGGAGCGGCAGCAGCAGCAGCAGCAGTTCAGTGAATTCGGCTCCTTCCAGTCTTCGCTCTGATAATCTGCAGTTGTTCTCATCAGTGGGACTGTACGACCAACTGGTCTCGAAGGCTGCTCAAAAAACAAGTGCAGTTACTCAGTGATTCCAGAAATTTTTCATATTTTTTTATTCATGTCGCTCTTTGCTTACTCATCGTCTTCTCCTTTTTTCACTTCCCTTGTTCGTCTCCTCGCTTCACTTCCTCTGCCTCCTGCTGTTAATGTGAGGCGCGAAATTAGATGCCGTTACGGGACATAATTGAAATAACAGGTTTTTTTGTGCATTTACTTAGTGACAAAGTGACACTTTGCTTTATTAACATACTGGTTCCGAACGACATTAACATTTCCTATTGAAAACTCGCAGCAGCGTACAGTTACAGTAGTATGAGGCAATAGTGGCTTTTTGTACTGTCGAGCATTTGTTATTTAAATCGTTCGCTTTTATGTTTCGTTTTATCGAACCGGACGCAGCATAGGCTGATCCAGGACCGTTTCCTAGGGAGGGAGGGGGGATGCATTTGTACGATTACCCCCTCCCCCTCCCACCCCTCGCTCTTGGGTTGTCACTATGTCGGACGCTCCGCTACTCCCCCTCCCCGCCCTCTCCCGCTGCTGGACCCTAAACTGCGGCGACAGCCGAGACGGAGGGGGAGGGGTTGGAAAGAAAGTGGGGCTTCTGGAGGGGAGGGTGAGGGCGGCGAACATCGAAGAAAGCTCTCCACAGTAAAACAGTTGCTACCTGTGCCGCTGGTGGG